GTCCAGGTCCTTATCCTGCTGGCTTCAGCAGCTCTGGGAATATGAACAAAATCAGCTGAGCCTCTGTTGAAGGGGCCTAATCCTCAGTCCCTGCTGTTCTAACCCACTGGATCCTATGCCCCTCTGGGCACTCCTAAGGCCCGGCTCTCAGCTACTGGAGGGAAATGGCCCAGTGTTCTCGGCTGGATGAAGAGCCCCTCGACATCCCCTCCCTGCTGCTGCACCGCTTACGCCCCCACAAGGGGGCCAGGTCAGCCGACCAGCCTGAGTGCTGGGGCTGTCAGCAAGGGGGCAGACTAATGCCTACAGGCAGGGCTGTGTGTTGAACTGGGCAGAGGCCTTACACAGGGTGACTGCAGACTAGAACTAGCACCCCCTGGAGGGGAAGAGCCCTCTGTCCCATTCCCTATGCACTGGTCTGGCACCACTTGGGAACTGGTGCTCCCTAAAGAGGAAAGGTCCCACACCTCAGTCCTAGACCACCCTGCCCTGGAATGGGGTGGAGCCAGCACCCCCTGGTCTTTCAAAGCTCCTTGTTAAATCTCTTGACTGTCCTGTTGCCCAGATGCCTGCCCTGGGCTTGTGTGCTGAGGCTGCAGCTCTAGCTGCTTCTTGCACTGGGGTGGGGGCAGATTTACCTGGTGTATGGTGTTGGGACATGGGACTTTGAGTGGATCTCAGCCGCCTGAGCTGTCCCTCTTACCCCAACTATCTGTTGGCCTTTGCTGCAAACCTGGCATCCACCAGGGCCCTGGCCTGTTGCCTCAGGGGCAGTGCCCATGGCCTGGCAGCTCTAGGAGCACTATCCCATTCTTGGAAGCCCTAGAGCCAAAGGAGGCAGGGCTTAAGGAGGTAGGGCTTGGTGGGGAGACTGTGCTGCACTCCTGTGCAGGCTGGGGCAGGGCTATGCAGGGTCCATGGGCTCCACCACGATGCACTCCATTGCTGTCTGTACCCACCCAGCTCCCACATGCAGGTGGGAATCACATCTCCCTGCTCAGGGACCTGTCTGGATCACATTCTTCCGCTCAGGGGAGATCCCAGACTCCTGCCTGCCCCCAGCCAGTTCCTGGTGTCTACTGTTCATTAGCTTCTGGCACCATCTCTGACGGCAGGAGTAGGATCCTTTGGCAGGCTGGGAGGGCTGCACAGATGAAATGGCCTCTGGAGGGAAGGGACAGCACTCAGGCCCATGCTGGCCTGGCCTGTGGCCACATTGGCTGGGATGAGGGATACTTCTAGAGCCCAGGAGGGCAAATCGTAAGAGAGCCAGAGAAATTGAAGCCCCATTAATGGCAGAGGCTGGACTAGAACCTAGGCATCCTGAGCCTCAGCCCAGCAATTGAGCTGCCAGACACCAGGCTCCCCCGGCTCAGAGCCAGATACCAGTTGGCAGCCTTTATTCCTAGAAATGAAAGGGTCCTACTGCCCAGCACTGAACTCAAGTCAGCTCATTGCCAACCCTCAGCTGTGCATGGGCAGAACAAGGAAACCAGTGAAACTGCACGGCTGGTTTCAATGCAGCTTTCAGCCCCACCTGGGGCTTCTCCCTGCAGCCTAGTGCCCCCCACCAAGACCTGCCATGCTCCCTGTAGCCTAGCACCGCCAATAAGCCCCCTGCTCTCCTCCTTGTGGCCTAGCGCCCCCTACCGAGCCCCTGCTCTGCTCCCTCAGTCCGGTGCTCTCTACCGAGACTGGTGTGCATCTCATGGACATCTCCCATCCAGGGCAGGAGCCTATGCTAGTCCCCTCACTTGTTCTTGGTTGAGGCTGCCCACTCCTGCTGCTGGTAGTTCCTGAACCAGTTTCCTCACATGGGTGGGGATGACACCATTGGCGGTTTGGGGGTCCTGCAGCAGGTTCCGGGTCAGCTCCTGGGGACAGAGATGGGGATGGGTGTCAGTGCAGAGATGAGGTTGGTGGGGCGTTCCCAGAGCTCTACCTTTATGGACAACTCCAGGCAAGACATGGCCCCCTACAGTGTATTCCCTATCCTGGGTGGGGATCATCACCTGCAGCCTGCCCTCTCTTGGGGGAAGGAATGGGGAGGGAAGTTTCATCCCCTACTGTGATGGCCAAAGCACAGGTAAGTGCTTTTAGCACAGACTTGCACTAGCAGGGCACTTGTAGTCTTACTGTTAATCAGACAAGCCCCATTTGAACTGGGCAAGGATAGTCAAGACTAATCTAATTCATAATTAACTTGATTCATAGTGCACTTTTCCTCTATCAGTCGCAAATAGCTCTAAGAAAGAGGAGATGATGCCTACGCCAATGCCCCAAAGAGGAATTGGCTGTCAGGGATGAGCCCACAGGATAAACATGCACATTTTCCAGATTGGGTCTTAATGGTCAGATGTAAGTAATCTGCCCATGGTTACATAGTGAGTCAGTGGCAGAGTTGAGACTCACACTCAGGTTTCCTGACTGATGCCCTGTGTGTTTAGGACAAAATGTCATTGGGAAGAGTGAAAATATGAATTAGGACTGACCTCTCCTAATAAAGCCAATTAGGCCATGCATATGGGCAGTAACAATGGGGCTTTCCCCGTTCCTCTTCTGGCTGGTCCTCAGAGATTTAAGTCAGCTATGATGCTTGAACTTATTGTATTTAGACCGAGCAGCAGAGGTTCATACTTCTAGAGCCAGTTCACTTGCTTCGCTGCTGGGTGTCATATTACATGTGCATTGAACAGCAGGGCAATGAACACATAGTGCAAGACAAATGCCGACTTCTGCCAATGCTTCCTACTTTGGGCCAGGTGCTCACAAACAATTAAAAGGAGCAGCCCCCTAGTCAGTGGGTGGTGTGCAAAGGTGGCTTGAAATGCTCATGTAGACTCACTCCTGAGACTGCTTTGCACATGCTTTTGAATCCAGGTGATAGGAGACTGTTTACCTGTTCGAGTCACATATGGCATTTCTACATGATTTTGACCCTACATGGTAAATATTTCACAGCTAGGCCACTTCCAGATGGATTCATATTACATCTTTCCTCATCAATTGCAAAAAAGCTCTAGGGAGGAGAGGATAACTCCACACCAACACCCCATAAGAGGAATTGGCTGTAGGGGATGATCCTATAGGATAAACATGCCCATTTTACAGTTTGGGACTCAATGAACAGATGTAAGTGATTTGCCCAAGGTCACATAGTGAGTCAGTGGCAGAGTTGAGACTAGCACCCAGGTTTTCTTCCCTCCAAAGGGTCAGTAAAATGCTGAGTTTCCAGTCTCTCCCAAGCTTTCCTCCTCCCAATGCAAAAACCTAATCTAATGGCACATGCATACTAATGAGGTCTCCTGCACCACAGTGTTAAGTAGGGCCTTACATGCCCAGTTTCCTAGGCAGCATTGTGAGAATGATTCTAATAAGGAAAGGTGGCTTCTTTCTACAGTAAGGGCCCAACTGGTCTAGGGTGTATCTCTGGTAAGAACTGGGGTTGCTTGGGGCCCTAGTACTGTACATGAAACCACTAGGGTGCCCACAGCATGCCAAATGTAGTGCCATGCTGAAGCATGCAGTGTAGGTGTACAGCTTGGGCAGGTAGGTGCTAGCTCTGCTGGATCCCAATAATCCCTGAGCCCCATGGGTGAGTGAAAGTATTTTACTGGGGCTGGCAGAAAAGGGGACAGAGTCCACACTCCTTTAGCAAGGAGGCTTACCCAGTTAGGCTATGTCTACACTGCACACTTATTTCAAAATAACAGAGTTTCAAATAACGGCATCTTACTCTGACTTATGGTAACCCGCATTTCACGAGGAGTAAGGGAAGTCAGAGTGCTCTTCCTTTGACTTCCTGCTGTGTAGACAGCGCCAAAAGCCAAGTTAATTACATAGCTGAAGTCAAAGTACCTTAACATTGCTGAAGTTGAGTGAGTATCTTAACTCGACGTTAGCCCGCAGTGTAGACGTACCCTTACATTTCAAAATGAAAAACAGTGGGTGGTCTTTGGGCCCGAGGGGCAGTCCAATCCAGTCAGGACCTGGGGTGTCCTCTCCAGTCACATCTCTCATTGGGCTTTTCTGCACTGGCTCCCTGCCCTCTGCTGCTGCCCCATGCAGAACGACACCCAGCTGTAAAGCTGGCAGCCACAGCCTGTTTGATGAGATTCCACTCTGCACCCAGATTCTCTCCAGCTCCTTGCTTTCCATATGGCCCATGGTCCTGCCTCCCAGCAAAGCCCATCCACTTGCTAGTTCAGGTTTTTTCCCCTAACTTGTCCAGGAGACAGAGAAGTTCAGTGGGGAAGGATTGAGGAGAGTTATGGTTCCCTACTTACCAGCTCCATCAGATCTTCTTTCAAGGCAAGCGCCTTTGCTATTTAACTTCTGAAAGCAAAGGGAACTTTTCTCACAAATGAGTGATGTCTCTCCCCATCACTGAGGAAACAGTCATAACAAATCAGCTGGCATGTGCTACATTTTTAGATTGTTGTGCTGGAGGCTGGGGGAAAGCTTGTGGAAGCTGGTGGGTGTGACAGCTGCCTTTCATACAGGATAAACACAAGAAGCAAGCAAGCTCCTTTTGGAGAAAGATAGCTGAAACAATAGGAGTCACTCCCCAAAACACAGGACTTTGCATGCATTCTTTGTACATACTCAGGATTGACCCAAAGAGATACCTTTATCCATCATCCATTTATCCTCTTCATAGAAACAACCCACAAGACCCTGCATGTTGGCTAAGCACTTGGGCCAAAAGGGTAACACTATAGTAAATTCTTGTTACTAAGGACTGACATGATTTTTTAAAACATAAAAATGGCTCCAGTCTACTGGGTCAGAGCAATGGTTGATCTAGCCCAGCAACTAGGGAAAACTACATCCTTGGATCTGAGCTGCTCTTCTTTCACCTCTGCAGAACAAGGGGTGATACTTGTTAGATAGTCTAGATACTTA